TCACATAGCTTCTTCTTTAGTTTTTTGAAAACTTCTTTGTGCTTCTCACTCCATGTATATGTAGCTCCTTTATGGGTCAAAGATATCAATGGAGTAGCTATCGAAGAAAAGCCTTGGATAAACCTTCTGTAATATCCAGCTAATCCTAGAAGCTTTGAATTTCGGTGGGACTTTTTGGTCGTTCCCACTTCATCACAACTTCGATCTTTGATGGGTCGACCATTATTCCTTCTTGGTTAACCACATGACCCAAGAATTGGACTTCCCGAATCCAAAAATCATACTTGGAGAACTTTGCGTAGAACTTCTCCTTCTTCAGAACTTCTAACACTTCGTGCAAGTCTTTGTCGTGCTCCTGCTAACTTTTCAAGTATACAAGAATATCATCTATGAACATTATTACGAATTTGTCAAGAAAAGGTTTACATACCCTATTCATCAAATCCATAAATGCTGTTGGAGCATTGGTTTGTCCGAATGACATAACCAAAAACTCATAGTACGCATATCTCGTTCTGAAAGCATTCTTCTCTATATCCTGATCTCTCACCTTTAGCTGATGATATCCCGACCTAAGATCAATCTTCAAGAAATAGCTCGCACCTTGCAGCTGATCGAACAGGTCGTCAATCCTTGGCAATGGGTACTTGTTCTTCACCATTGCCTTGTTCAACTCTCTATAATCTATGCACATCCTCATGCTCCCATCCTTCTTCTTCACGGATAGCATCGGAGCTCCCTAGGGTGATGAAATAGGTCTAATGAAACCTTTGTCCAATAACTCCTGAAGTTTTATCATTAGCTCTTTCATCTCCATTGGTGCTATTCGGTAAGGTGCTTTTGCTATAGGTTTGGTTCCTAGTAACAAGTTCTATCTTAAACTATACTTGTCTATCAGGGGGCAATCCAGGAAGATCTTCAGGAAATACTTCCAGAAAAGTCGTGCACCACTGCAATCCTCCACATCTCCTTTTTCTCCTTCTTTTCATCGACCACAAATGCTAGGTACGATGTACATTCAGATGTTTTGCTTAAATCTGTTTTGGAATTGTAAATTGTTTTTTTAGATTGCGAAGGACCTGTCATCAATGCTAAGGAATGATTTCTAGGAATGGTTTTGTATTTGGAAAAGGTCTCGTAATTAAGACTGCAGCGTCACAAATAATGGTCAATTATGCTCTGTGTTTTGGGTTTGTGGTGAAATAAATTAACTAGCATGCAACCATTTGATGAAATGCTTAAGAGAAAGAATATGATGTTAGTTTCTTTTCAAGTGGGTATTTATGTGAAGTTACAAATCAAAAAAAAAGTGTGTATTAAATATTTATCATTCCATAGATTTAATAGTTTTTGAATAATTTTCTTAATAATTAATGGACCTCGATTAATCCACATCTAACTGATTAATCTCTTAACCCTAGTCCACCGACGAGCTAACGTCGAGTGTTTTTTACAACCTTGAAAAATATACACAATTTTCGCATACACACAAATATACACTCATAAGTCCAAACTTCAAATTACAACAACATACATTTAAAACCCATCATCATCGAGTCATCAACAATAACCAACAGAGGATGAGTACGGTCACGTCTTTGCCTTGCCACGGTCCACTGAAGTACCTAAAACCATAAACCAAATCTGTAAGAACAAAGCTTATTGAGTTCCCCCAAAAAACCACCACACGAACATATAACATATACTAACAAACAGCATGCATACAGGGTCTTCAGCATGACTAGAATGCCCCACCGGCCTACAATATATCTGGTACGCCCACAAAGCCTTCAGTCTGAATGGAACGGCCCATCGGCCTATAGTCTATTTGGTACACTCACAGAGCCTTCAGTCTGACTGGAATGCCCCACCGGCCTATAGTCCATCTCATACGCTCACAGAGCCTTCAGTCTTACTGGAACGCCCCACCGGCCTACAGTCTATCTGGTACGCTCACAGAGCCTTCAGTTTGACTGGAACGCCCCACCGGCCTACAATCTATCTGGTACGCTCATAGAACCTTCAACATGATTGGTACGCCTCACTGAGCCTTCAGCCTATCTGGACCGTTCTCCGGGCCTTTGGCCTGATTGGTACGCCCCACTGGCCTACAGTCTATCTGGTATGCTCACAGAACCTTCAGCATGACTGGTACGCCTCACCTGGCCTTCAGCCTATCTGGACCGTTCTCCGGGCCTTTGGCCTGATTGGTACGCCCCATTGGCTTTCAGTCTATCCGGGACGCCCTAAGTCTGTTGGCGTTCAGCACATAGCAGGACCGCCTTAACCTAACCACACACAACATGTCAATATATATATATATATATATATATATATATATTAGATATATATATATATATATATATATATATATTATATATATATCTAAAACACATATAAGCCCAATAAACCATAACAACATAATGATATAAACATTACCGGGTTTGTTGATTGACAACACAAAGCAGTACAGTCTCAACCCACCCACACCACGGCGACATATACACAACTAAACATATAACCAGCCAACAGACAAACAAGCAGATCTTACGGATCACTAAGCATAGCATCATCCTATATACCAGGATACAGATCTAACAGATCACTACATCATACAATCATGTGACAAACCAGGATAACAATCCAAAGGGTCGGCCTTGGTGCCTTCGACCCGTAAGTACAGTGAGGAAAACTCACCTCTCGATCTGATCCATAGCTGATGAGGGCCGACTCCGAATCTCAACTCTTTAACCGATACCTATTTCCATCGAGTGACCAGTTCCATTAGAATCCCAAAATACCCAAAATACCCTTAAGGTCTAACTTCGTCAAAGTCAACGGTCAAGGTGAACAGTCCATGTTGACCCAACACGCCGTGTTGACTTAGAAAACACGCCGTGTTCCACCTGCACCCAAATAGTCGGTAAAATCCCGACCAACACGCCGTGTTGACTTAGAAACACGCTGTGTTTGCCGAAGTTCCAACAACTTAATACGTTAAGCTGTTTTCCTTGATTCCAAGAGCTCCAAAGCTCAGATCTAGTCCGAAATGTGATCCATAAGGATAAAGTTTCCAACTTTATCCATTAGGAATACCCAAAAAGGTCCAAGACCCAATCCATAAAGTTTAAAAATGAAAGGGCTTAACCAATAAGCGCCTAATCCTTAAAGTTTGAAATCCATCCTTTCCATAAGTGATTCCAACACCAAAACCATCCCAAAGGTTGGTGCTTTTCAGACACACATGTCCAATGTATGTCTTGAACCCATATTAGGTAAAAAATGAGGATTTATGACCTAATCTTTATGCATGCCATCAAAACTTGATTAAAGACCAGATCCAAGACACTACTAGGTCACCTTGACCTGGAGATTCATAAAGTTGCAAACTTTATGAGATCTAACCATTCCAACATTCAAGAACAAGAAGCAAAAGGAACAAAACCCAAGATCTAACAACTTTAAATGATAAAAATCAAGTCTTGGACACTTACAAAGGTCCAAAAGAGTGCCAAACTGAAGGATGGGGGCTTGCTTGCTGGATCTTTGCTTCCTTCTTCCACCTTCTTCCTTCTTTAGCTCCAAAAACACCAAACTAGCTTAAAAAATGGGAGGAAAAGATGATTATGGTTTCTTTCAGGGTTTGAGGGCTGATGGGGGCTGAGGGTGAACAAACCCTAACCTCCACATTCCTTTATATAGGGAGCAAAACCCAGAAGACTAGGGTTTCATCACCAGTCATCAACACGTCGTGTTCCAAGAGGCAACATGCCGTGTTGTCCTTAATAAAATTTGCGTTTCCTCATATATGGACACGCCGTGTTGGTTCCTCTAACACGCCGTGTCAAATCCTCAAAAGGTGATTCTTTTTCCAAAATTGCTCCTCAAATTTCTGGGTGTTACATCATTTCCCAAGTCCTTGTCAAATGGAAAAACCGCGACATTTCTGAAGCTACATGGGAACCAGCTAGCGAGATCACCCTTCCTGCGACCACAGATGACCTTGAGGACAAGGTCCCTATCAACGACGTGGGTGTTGATATGGGTACGACCCAAGAGAGACACACATCGACCCGCCTGTTACCTTGATTAACGAAGACTTGGAAGTGAAGCTACAATTTTAGTATTAGTTGTACGTGATGTTTATGCATGCATTAGTTTAGGACCCACTAGTTTATAAGAATAAATATTCACCATGTTTTAGTTAGTTCCTAGTTTTGTGGAAGCACGGTAGCTCACTTTCATTATTTTAGTTTATAATTTGCTTTTGAATGGATTATCACAAAATTGTCCCAATCTCTTCGTGAAAAATTCCGTGACATTGACCCCCTCGAACAAAGTCTTATCATGATTAAATATATACACAATAAAAATTAGTTATTACATTTGTACAAGCTATTTCACCCAAAAATTCAAATAAAAAATGATATAACATGTCACATCAAATGGTACCGAGTAAATCCATAGATGCCGGTTAAAATGATATTTTTCGACCAAATATATTCATTATTTGTACAATGTATAACAATGAATAACTAAATACATGCAAAACTCAAAAAAAATTTACACCCTCAAGTCATTATACATTTTTATATTTTTCACATAAAAATCCATCAAACGATTTTTGTATGATTTAGTTCATCATTATTTAAATACTTGAAAACTAGCTGTTGTTAAAAAAAAAAAAATCGTGTTACTTTTATGCATGTAAACATGATTTTTTTTACTATAACGTGTTTTAAGAAAATATATATTTATTTTTTTATTTTTATTGTTCTAGAATGACATGACAAATCTTTTTTTGTCAAACAAGTCATAGATATTTCCAAGTTTTGAATGTGTTGAGATCAAGTCAAAACCTATGGGCGTGGCCACCAGAGTCCTCCTTAAATTCAACATACAACATCACATGCACGACATACAACATCAATTACAACGTACAACAAATACAGCATAAAGTACAGTTCTGTAAAGCACAATACGTCCACGCCACCCTATCTGGGCGAGATAGAATCCTAACGAACCGTTCTCTTGAATCACAAACTCATAAGATGATTTCCAAAAATTTGTAATTTAAAAAGGAAACAAAACCTAAACTTATATTTTTGGGGGGGTAAGAGAGACGGGGTCGATGCACGTTTCCTTCAATCTTTACACCCCCAATCGCAATCATGCGTTGATTCATATTATCTTTTTTTCCCCTTGATTCAACGAAATTAATGATGGGTTTGAATTTGATGAACATGGAGTGTGGTGGCGCGAATGAAACGACGGAGAACGACGGTTGCGGCGGCGACGGTGATGATGCTGGTGCTTGTGCAGGGGAACCTTTCGTTCCACCTATTAATTTTGCTAATGTTGAAGATCGAGTATACAGATCTGGATTCCCTCAACCTTCGAATCTCCCCTTTCTCGAGACCCTACAGCTTCGATCCATCATGTAGGTTTTTCCGCTTTTTGATTCAATTACCATGTTTATCGTTTCAATTTTGGTTCAATTAATGATCAATCTGTTTTTTTTATGGGTGTAGATATTTGTGCCCCGAACCCTATCCTACAGAAAATTTAGAATTCCTAAAAGCTCATAATATTCGACTCTTTCAATTTGGAATTGATGGCACCAGGGTAATTTCTCTAATCTCTTCTCTTCTCCCCTTCTTCTCAATTTTCAATTTCATTCTTCATTGATTCTGATACAAATTTGTGATTTCGATTAAAGATCGTTATACAATATCTTCTAATATTTATTTTTTGTATGATTTAAACACGCAGGAGCCTTCCGTAGACGTTCTTACTAACATTATCACAGAGGCTCTCAAAGTTTTAATCGGTATCCAATCATGAACCCAAACAATCTACTACAATCGTTAATTTCTAGATAAAATTACACAAATGGTCCTTGTGGTTTGTAGAAAATACAACTCCATATCATTTTGAGGAATTTTTAACATTACTAGTCCTTTTCATCAAAAGGACTTGCAGTGGTATTTTCTACCAACCAAAAGGACCATTTGTGTAATTTTGTCTAAATTCTATACAAAAAAAAAAAAAAAATACCAATCTTGTAAATTACTTGCATGTTTTCTTTTGCAGATGTGAGAATCCATCCTGTTCTAATACATTGCAAACGAGGAAAGGTATGCAATAAATAGCAATGCACTTTGATTTTCATTTATTCATGTATAAATGAATATAAAAATAATAATGATTGTATTATGATGACAGCATCGGACAGGGTGTCTTGTGGGGTCCCTACGAAAGGTGCAGAACTGGTGTTTATCATCGGTAATGGATGAGTACAAGGTTTATGCAGGCATAAAATCAAGAGACACAGATTTGAAATTCTTGGAGACATATGACGTGTCATATTTAAGACAATGTCTTCAAAGTGTTATATACCAGTACCATGGATATGGTTCCAAGAAACGAAGGTTGTTGTCTGGAGAAGATGTGCGACATAAATCGAGGATAACTTCTATATAGGTTGATCATCTTTTTTGGAATGGTTTTATTTTTATTTTTATTTTGGTTTTGGGGGGTGAAGATGATGTGTTGTTTAATGATAGTTTCGTTTGAATATTATTATACCATACAACCATTGATTTATGTTAAAACATGAGTGAATTCATCATGAAGGGAATCAATTGCATTGTTCTAGTTTTGGGGAAAGGGAAAAATGAGCGTGTGATTTTGGAAGAAGAATATGGAAAAATGCAACTGTGAATGAGAAAATTCGACTGTAAATATTATGAAATAACAGTTTCGTTGCATTATTGTAAATTGCTAAATTATACGAGTGATATTCATAACATGTAGAACATGAAATACTATAGCATTATGGAAACTTCTCTTGGACAAGTTCATTCCTTTAACTTATCAAAAAAATTAAACATTTATAGTTGCTTCCTTTATAACTTCTTTAGCTATCTCATTTAAACAAATGGAGGCCACATCATCGATGCAACTGCTTCGGGGGTTTACAACCGGGTAAACCAAGGTTTTTTTAAACATTACATGGTTTTGCGTCTATTTTTTTTTAGTTAAGGGGATGGATTTTTCATAAAAGATATCAATGTATACAAGCAGATCCAAGCCAATTTGAGGCCCTTAGAGTAAAAATAATTAGTAAAGGATGACATCTTTTTTGTTTATGTTTTTTAAATGTGTCTCTTGTTATAATTTGTCCATAGATTGCTTTCGTAATAGTATTGTTATTCGGTTTTTATTTATTTTTTCCTTTTCTCACTATTAGATAAATACTTTCTACTTCTAGGCAATATGTTATTATTTGTTATTTTAATCTTATAGAACAATGCCAATTATATAAAAAAGAAAAGTAAAAAAATGAAAACACCTAGATGTGAAAATTGTGATGTCGAATCGTTTTCCAACGACAAGGATAAAAATTTCTAAATCGTTTTCCATGCTCCAACAACAAAGATTTCAATACTTGTGATGTTGAGGCTTCAAATTATTTACATAAAGTAAAAAAAGAAAACACATAAATTAACTTTTTGTTAGACAACTAAACATCAAAGAGAAAAACAATGACGAAATTTACACGAACTACAATAACACGAGTCATAAATCAAATTAACATAAATCATAAATCATAAATCAATATCAGTTGGCTAGTTAACAAAATTTGATGAAAATGTCAAACAGAGAGTTACTTGTCCGAGTGGACTTTCCTCTTAGGTTAAATCTACATAAAATCTCTTCTTTGGACGCAAGCAACAACGATTTGGAGAAGAAAGATTTTGAGAATTCATTCGAAATATCTTTTTGGTATTTTTTTTAGTTTAATTAACACATTACAGTTGTTGAATTACACTTTGATTGTTCCTTTATCTAGCATCAAACGACTAAAAACCTTATTTTTCCGGTTTCTTGTAGACACTCATTTATGTGTGGTTGAATTCGTAGGATTGATGTTTTGACTTGTTTTTAATCTAGTAATATATGTTTTGTTTGATTTGAACACTTAATTTCTTTTACTTTGTTAATGCTTGGTCACTTGAATTAGGTTTATTATAATAAAGTTTTTTTGTTCATGATGGACAAATTTCAATATAACACATAAGAACCAATCGAATGCTAGCATGTCGTGTCTTCTATAAAGGCTTAACACATAAGGCGTTTCATGAACTAACTCATTTTATGAGCGTTATTATAAATGATACATTGGTTTAGTGAGAGTCTTTAGGTACTATGTGTTTTATATTCAGACTTTGTGTAGCAAAATTCTGCAAAATAAAGTTATGGTATTTATATCATTGTCCTAACTCACATGAAAATTGAAATATACTTATGATTCATAAAGAACTGGCTTTGATAAAGACTATCGTTTGACCAATTAAAAATTGACATGTATAAGGTTACGTTGCACACCATTTTTAATCCACTTTTGATCTATGTCATCAAGTGTATATGTATGGTGATCATTGTAAATTATTCATCATTCAAATATATGATTAAAATTGTGTTGGTTTGATATCGATGCATAAGATCGACATTAATATTGTTCTAAAGAAAACAAAGTGAACATGAACCTAAAGAATATGTAATACATTTTAATAATATAATATCAAAGTAGGAGTTATTAGTAATTGCTAACTATTAATACAATATATTAGAAACTAGCAGTCTATTAAGTGAGCATTATATACTTATAAGTTACATATATGTCTATTTAATGAAATTAAATTGATACCATTGTTAAAGCTTAATGAGGACTCTAAACCAATGTGTATAATAAAGATGGTCCCCACCATAAAAACACACATATATCTTGTACAATCTTTGATCCCCAACATCAAAGGATCTTAGAAGAAATACTAAGGTCTTTTTTGATAAATACCATTACACACCAATTATATTTTGTCGTCAAAGTTCTACACCAAAACGACATGGTCAGTGGATGAAGGTATGAATTTATTTTCATCATGGTGATTCAATAATATAATTCAATTTATGGTTTATAGAATTTTGCTAGCGGGTAATTGTAAAAAATGTTGTTGATATGCCCAAGGGTGATGAAAATATTATGTGCGAGTGGGGGTTATTTATGGGCAGGGTGGTTGGATTTTTGAGCGGAGTACGTCATCTACAGAAAAAGGAAGGTGGCTTAGAAGGCATGTACCAGGACTAGGTTTGTATAGAAATAGGAAAAGGTGGGATTGGTTTAGAGTAGAGATGCACAAACACGTTTTAAACCGGTTTCGGTTGAAAAAAACGGTTATAGAAAAATCGGTTTCCATTATAATTGGTTTGGTTTTTTCGGTATTTTTGGAAGTGGATTTTTTTACAAAAAATCGGTCTTTTTCGTTTTAGAAACTACCTCACAGTTTAGAAAAGCCTGTTCTTTTTGTGCTGTTGTGCACCTCTAGTTTATAGTTTCACATGGTCAGTTTGGGATATTTATGGGATTTAAGGTTTCTTAGTTTTCAATGGTTTGGAATGTACTTACTTTATTTCATGTGGAATCATGTAGCTAGGATTAAAAAATTGGCAAACAATTAGGATTCTTGGAGTAGACGTGAGGTTGTAGGGGGTTTGCATGTGTGGTTTAGAAATGGGATTAATTTTTTTTTTTTTACGGACTATCCCTTATGCATGGGTTTTCTTTTATTATTTTTATTATTTCTAGGTTATTTCCAATAAATTGAATTTTTAAGAGTTCAATTGATTGCCATATAAATATTCCACTAAGGCTGTAGGGACTAGGGACTAGGGAGTGGTCACAGCCAACTCAACGGCACGTAGATATTTAGCATTTTACAACCAACCCACTAGGTTGTGTAAATGGTGTTCACCGGCAGGGGTGACAACTCTCGACCCAACCCGTAACCCGACATCGACCCAACCCGAAAATAGACGGGTTTGGATTGAGATTTTTGACCCTCCAACCCGTCAACCCGCCAACTCACCAACCCGTTTATTTCATGGGTTGGGTTGGGTTATCTGTTTGGGTTCGCGGGTCAACCCGTCAACCCGTATATATATATATATATATATATATATATATATATATATATATATATATATATATATATATATATATATAATTATTAATTAAATTTGATTTCATCCGTATTCGTAATATTCTGTATCATTGTATTCCTTCCGTATTCCAATGTGAATAATCTGCATTTGCGGTTCGTTAATCATAAAAAGAAAAAATACATGTCGTTATTTCACGAGTCACGAACGAAGAACACATCGACCTTCTATGAATGTTTTCATTTTTCATTTTTATTTGGATGTATTGACTTTATGAATTTATGTTGAAAACCTTTTTTTTATGTTAATTACTTTAATCATTTTATGAATTTATGTTGAAAAAACCTCATTTTTTAAAATGTGTTGTTTATTTATTAAACGGGTTATATGGGTTGGGTTTGACACATTAACTTGTGAACTCGCGAACCCATATACTTAAATGAGTTATATGGGTTGGGTTGGGTTGATGTTTCCAACCCACCAACTCGTGACCCGCCAACCCGTCAACCCATATATTATATGAGTTGGGTTGAGTTTATATTTTCTGACCTGCCAACCCACCAACCCGTGACCCACCAACCCGAACCCAACCCAATTGCCAAGCCTATTCACCGGTGAGTTGGTAGTGAAGGGCAAAAAGGAGGAGAGAGAAGGAGAGAAAATAGAAAATATCATAACCATTAGCCAATCACCTTACTCGTCTTCATGCATCTTGACAACCTTTCCACCTACTCAAAAACGGTGTTCATGCATGGGTTGGCTTTCCATGTAGGATCTCACACGTGAATTAACCCCCACTATGGATAGTCTAACTACATCATTTTATCTATTAAACCTTATTGTTTTATGAATCTACCCTAATAAATGAAAATGATTTTGCCACATGTCCTCTTCTAATGCATTATGCCACATGGTTTTTTCTGGTTATTTTTATTTTATCATTTTCTACTTGGCAATTTCTGCCTTTTTTTCTTTTCTTAGTATTGGAAACCATAGTTGACTGAATCTCAATATAGGTAACTTATGTTATATATGTTACATATTGATTATATTAAAATCTCAGAATAATTGCTATACAAACTTACATTTCCTTCCTTTTTAAATCCATCATATTATTTATCTATTTCTCGAATCCGCAGCTAATCTTTGATAAGAATTCCAAATTTATACACTATCGAATGAATGGAATTCAAACTGTGATATCAATCATGCTATTTTGTTGTTGTTCAAAGCTTTACTCTGCATAATCAAAATCGATTACACCATCATCTACACAAGGTTATAAAATCATTCTGATTTAATGATGACCTTTTTTGCAAAGCAGTTCATTCTGATTTGGTTCTATTTTGATGCTTCGTCCCTATTGACAGAAAAGTTTAACTGGTGTGGTAATCATGTCACTAAATTAACTTCTTATGTGCTTGCCATACATACATGACAACTCTGCCCCTGCCCTTAAACATATGTGGTTGCTAATATGAACTATAGTTGGTGAAATTCATAGAGACTAACAGTAATCCCAGTAATCCCTTAAGTAATCTGAAAGATCGAAAAAAATATGATGTCCTTGGTTAAGTTCAGTTGATTTGTTTGTTTTATGAAAGTTGAATTTTGCAATTTTTACTTCCACATTTATACCCTTTTGGTCATATATTTTTGAGTTTGTTTCGATTGTAAATCAGTTGAAAGAGAAGTTGGTGTATATTGTGATTGATTTTGACCAATAACTGCAAAAA